GTCAACATCTCCGCACAATAATTCAGCGCAGTGAGTGACAACTTTTTTTCATCACAATGCTTATGTGTGTCTATATAGCTAGTTACGCTAGCTGTATAGACAGTTAGATGTTGTCTCCACCGTCTGTGAAAGCGAAGCGCTGCTGAGTTAGCTGTGGCCATCGGATTTGTTATGGTTTATGCAGCGATATTCCATTACAGACGATTATACAAACATTTTCTGCCGCTGAGAGAAAACCACTGCGCATGTCTCAGAGCGTTGCGTGCGACTGAAAGGTGGGGAGGGGAGGGGGAGGGGGAGAAACACGTAGTTGCTTGGATTTTAATTGGTGCATTTTGCATCCACTGAAAACAAAGATGTTAACAAATAAACTGGATAGTATGCTGTACGTTTAGTGATATTTTCACAGTTGCGGTCTCGACTGGTCTTGAAATAAAATGCCGAGTCCTCAGCGCCCGAGACCGAGACAAGCCGAGACAAGACCGAGACCAAATGCGGTCGAGTCCGAGACGAGACCGAGACCATCAATAAATGGTCTTAAGACCGGTCTCGAGACCAAGACCAATTTCGAGTACCACAACACTGATAATGGCAATACCGATACAACTTCTACACCTTGAAGCCTGTCTGTTACACAGTCTTACGTTAGCTGAACAGATCAATATGTAATGTGTACCGTATCTGACATATATTAAAGATTTTATTCTACCTGAAAGGGCTTTTTACTAAACTAATTGTGTTAGCCATGCTAGCACCGAGTGCAGTGTATCAGGCCTAGGCACACTGAAACATTTGCCAACAACAGAAATCACTGGTTTCAAAAGTAACCCTCAAAACCATGAATGCAGACTTACCCAGCCTTGCAAGAACAATAGGCATCAGTGATCTTGTCCACAGCTATATTCATGCTGAGGGTGTGAGGAGCTGCTGTTTTCGGTAGCATTTAGCTGCGACGCGCACAATGTTGGAGGCAGCGCGTGGCTCAAACACCTTGATGTCGTCCAAAAAAGATGACATGACCTTGTTTGTTCCCCTGTCCATTGTCGTGGCTGATATTTTGTGAAAATCCGGCAGAAATGCTACACTAATCGACTCAGAAATACTCTGCAAAGAGTCAGTCGAAGTGAAAGACGCCATGTTTACATAGAAACTAAGCTACGCGAGGCTTTGTTTGTGAGACATGCAGCCACGTGGGATTTTAGAGGGCGTTTCTGGGCGGAGCTTGGTGAGGTCCATTGCATCAAGACTTAAAGGTATCAGATGAACCTGTGTTATCCTTTGTTGCATTTCAAAACCACACATCTGAACATATCAACAACTGCTTCTGCAACTCTGCCTGACATCAGATGCCACAGAACAAACTATTATTACAAGCAAATGGGACAGAGGGATAACTAAAGTAAACAGAAGTGTTGAACTTGAGCCTGAATGTTGGAGCCAAAGCAGATCAGTTAACGAAAGCTGGAAATATCATCTTAATTAATCAGTGTAAAATTAAATCAACGCATTCCATGCAATGACTCAACATGTCAAACAAACTCAGATGTATTTTAGAAGAAACAACATGTAACAGCTCCACTTTAAATGTTGATACTGCAGCACAGAAAGTAGCAAACTAGGAAACTTTTCCCACTTTAAAACTTTTGTTTAAAACATTAGTTCCAGTGAGATAAAATCTCACTTTAAATGAAAATTTTGGTGATTTACTTGTTGCCTATTGTTTCCCTGTTTACTGTGTCCAACAACACATTATCTATATCTAGGAACATTTTTAACTAATTATTATTAAATCCAGAGGAAATAACTTCAAACTTTCTTCCACACATGCCTTTTAATGAGAGCAGTCCCAGGACAAAGTAAAGACAAAAATACATCACCAGCTGATAGAAAGTAACTTTTCTCTGCTTTTATGAGGAAAGAACCTCAGGTTTGCCTTAAACTTGTTATAATGTGACATTTATATTGTAATAACTAGCATATGATAGTGTTAAAATAATTAAGAAAACAGAACAACACAAAGTCAGAATAAACCACACATTGTCTTGTTTTGATTGCTCAGAGTTTTATTCTTGCTAAGCCAAAGAACAAAAGAAAGTTTTGCTTAGATGATCTTTTATTATAACTTATTCAGTCTGATCTTATTACAGAGAGACAATCCAGCTGCTGTTTGCTTGTCGCTTCATTCTTTAGGTTGCATTAAAGACAGAAATGATATGAAGTGAAGAAGCAGAAATATCTTTATAAAGTTGCAAAATGGCAGGTAAACAGAAACTCCTAGCATTCATCCTCCACTGGTTCTGTTTTACACATCAGGCCCCTTTGGGAACCTTTTTTTCAGATCTTCTTGGCGCAGACAGAAGGGTTTCTGTGAGTACACTTCATGTCATCCCAGCACTTTCCAACTAGGAGCAACACAACAAATCAGTAAACATCACATAATGAAAACCCTGAAGTGACCTAACAAGATGACTGAAAAGGATTATTAACTAAACTAATTTGCAACAATAAATTATCATAAGGTTTTGAAGTTTATGTAGTACATATACAGTTTTAACCAGACATTTACATACACAGAATAAAAAAACACTGTCTGAAATTAAGTCAGACCAAATGTCTTTGTTTTAAGGTACTTTTAATTGTCAAAAGTATTTCTATTTGCTAAATGCCATAAAACTTGGCAAGAATTTATTTTGGAGATTTCTTTTGTAATTTTCTTCAAATTCAGAAGTTTACATACATTTGGTCAGTATCATGGATAACTATCTTTTGAACTGAATGAGTTTGATCAAATGTAAACTTCTGCTTTCAACTGTATTTGGAGGTCAACTAAAACGTTTATATGCAAAGTAAATAAACTTTTTACTCATCAGTTCTTATACCAACAGAAAAGCAGACGTGACATTTTCTTTACTTGAATAGTTCATCTGTAGGCAGTGCTGGGAGCCAAAATGATTATCAGGCTGCCATGGACACCAGTTTGTGTATTTCATCGGGCTTCCATCGCTCCACAACCAAGTGCCCCACTGCAAGACAAAGTTCAGCAGATGATATGTTTCATTTAATATCTTATAAAATATTTCACAACTAAAGTATTCTGGTAGAAATACCTGCTGTGCATCAGTGCCTCCAATCCATGCTTCTTTGAACCCGTGACCTGCTATAGCTATCAGAGCCTGAACCTGACGGTACTCGTTCAGGTGGTGAACTGATGCAAGGTTTGCCCCCTTGGACAGACAGTTTTTCTACAGATAAACACACAACTACTAAATGAAGTTTGTTTTATTTCTCACTGTGAAATAAAGCAGAGCAACAGGAAATAAGAGCAAAGTGTTGAAAATCACCTCTGCATCCGCCCAAGTCATGTAATTGGGAACATAGATAAAGCAGCGATTGAAGATCAGAGTCCAGCCAGAAGCACATGCTGATGAAAAACAAACGCAGGCTTCCAGTTAACTGGTTTATGTGGCATTAGTTTGATAATAACTTTATTTTGTGACAAATTATAACATCAAATTGAAACATTAAATTTATTCTAAAACATAATGCCCACATTGACAAGATATGACTCAGTGTGTACTTTGAAAGGTACAGTGGAGACATTTTGAGATGACTAATAAATTATCTGGAGAAGGATTGCATTATGTTTAGCAAAGTAAATACAAGAAGATATATTTTAGAGTTTGTGCTTTAGGCAATCATGCCAAGGAAATGGAAACAATGACTGAAAACATCCACTGACTGTCACCAGGAGAGCCATCATCGGAGACAGCTTTAGATATTTAAAAAAATATATTTTATTTATGATTTCTTAATATTTAATAAATACCCACGGTTACCACTGGCCTGAACGACCGCAGAGGAAACCAGGAGGAACACAGTCAACAACTTCATGGTGGAGATGATGAGAAGATGCAAATTTGCAAGCTGAAGAAAAGTTAAAATAAAGCATACATGTTAAGAAAAACTCACATTGGCACTAAGACAATAAGAAATTTGATCAGCAAACCTGATGCAGAATGATCCGTCTTCTTATCCAGCCAGTACCTTCAGTCCTTACTGCAGAATCACTGGATACTTATAGAGCTTTTAGTCTTGTTACATCCACAAAATGAGGAAATTATAAGGGTAGAAATGACCTGATAGTTCACATCTAGTTCAACAGGAACTTAAAGTTGTGACTAAGTCTATGCAATCGGTTTTTCGTGGCCAGGTAGTGGTCTTTGTTTTTAATTACACTTTATGAAAGTTCAGAGTTCAATTCATCCAGTTGTCTTTCCCTTTCCAATTATGCCCCTTTTCCACCGGCTCTACTTTAACAACCCGACTCCACTCGGCTCTGTTTCGGAGTAACCGGGTTTCCACCGGCCCAAATTGGCTCTGTCGCAGGGTACAGCCTCCTGGTGGGGGTGTATCGCCCCGCCTCCAGGCTCTAAAGAAGAAGAGAGAGCTGAGCTATTTTTATAGCCTGATTGTGATTTTTTTTCAAGAAAATGTGACAGTGGGAGGAAAGCTGCGATGTGGTGAGGAGGAGCTGATCTCCGCCTTGCAGCGGGAGGAAAGCAGGTAGCTCAGACGGTTCAGGTAAGCTAACGATGATTTTTGTATTAAACTACGATAAAACTTGTAATAGGGCCGAGTATACATGAGCTAATGTTAGTCAGGGTGTTGCAAATAACTTAAAAATGTCAGAATTAATTCATAATTTATTCCAATGTGTTTTCATGTTGGTAAACTGCCGCCACAGACCATCATGGTTCTTCGTGCAGCCTTTGGGTTGTAGGACGTCTCATCAGTGTTCGTCTTCCTGCCTGCTGGCTGGTGTTTACCTTCAGGATGTCCAGAGACCTTCACCTTTCTGGAGCAGGAATCACATGAGCTCAATATGCTGATGAAATATTTCTGATCAAAAAAATGTGTCTGATGTTGTTACAGAGTTGAAGTGCATTAATAATCTGTTGTTTTTAACTTCTCAATACGTTTAATTATGATTCACCTGATGTCCAAGTTATACTGAGAACAAATAAAGCTTTTTTCCTTCTAATCTGACTGGTTCTAGTTCCATGTTTTCACATTTTGGACACTAAGAATTACAAGTTTAAACTGAGTCTTAATTATTACTAAGGTTACAGGTTTTGGACACATTTTCTCACTTTCTTACATTCAAGATTCTCCAGGTAGAAGAAACAGTGAGTGAATAAATGTAGATAAATAACAGTTACTAACGTGGGAGTTACATACACATAATTATTTAAAACAGACATTAAGCTTTATATATACATACAAAAATAATAAAAGCAGAGAATTTTGTCAAGAGGGAGAGAGCATAGCTCTGATTGTGACGTTTAGTCTCAGGCCCATGAACGCAACACGGCCAGCAGTAAAGAGCCTTGCAG